TTTTAAAAGAGGCAACAGGAATGTGGAAGAGTGAGTAGAGCAACATGCCACCGAACAATGAGCCTTTTCACTGTGTAATTTAAAGCGTGCAGAGCACGCACGGCCACAAACCAAGAATTTGCCGTTTGGCAGGTGGCCTTCATGGCCAAGTAAGGCTGGAATTCTTGGAGTCCGCTTTCAGATAAAAGTTCTGGTCATCAAGGAGTTAAAGGAAAAATACTCATGTCGGGGAGTTGCATAACTCTCATTCTATTTCTTGCTACCCTGAAGGACTAATAGAATAATATAAAATAAAATGGGACTATTTAAAAAAAGTTAAATTCACATTTAGAGAATCTGCACAGGCCTTCTTGTGGCTTATGGGATTCATGTAACAACAGAAAAATGAAACTCAGTTCAACCCGCCGATGTACATGTAGGTTTGAACTATTTTACTTGTTTAATTGTTTATTAGTTCTAATAATTATAATTGTGATTAATATTTTTTTGCCTGTTTTTTTTTGCTGTACATGTACTTTTAATATATTTTCCGTGTATTTTAATTATAATATGTAACATTCTTGTAATTTAGCTTGGGCCACGATAAGAATGAAATAAACTAATTTATGAAATGAAATGAAATAAATTATCCTAGCTTATAATATAAGTCTGAATATTAGGGTGGCTCGTCCAACAAATTGAACAAAACATAGCGTACCGGTATGTGTACAAACCTTAAGGCACAGGAATGGGCCTGACTGACACAACAGAACTCCAGATCCCTGGCCGATCACCTGTACAGCAGTACAGCATTAAACCAACAACCGTGTGACACCAGCTCAGACTCTAGTCCAGCTGTTTTCATACATGAAGTGTGTACTTATGCTCTTTTTGTACACTTGTTTTTGTCTCCATATGTACCCTTATCGTACACAAGCAATAATGTACATGTACTACGTGTAGTACAGTACTTTTAGGCACATGACAGGTGTAAATTTTGTTTAAGTCCACAACGTATAGTACCTGCACAAAATGTATTTAGCTTTGCATTTGCATCTAGTTCAAGACGTAAGACAATGAGTATTCAGTTACAGGTACCCACACTCTATGATGTGTGTAGAAGACTGATCGTGAAGTTGACTTGGACCCGGGGAGCTTTTGTTCTTCATGCTTTCTTTGAAAACCAGCAGAAAAAGATTCACCTATAAAATTCTAGAACACGGCTAATGCATAATGAAAGACATTACCCGCGTAGCATACATGTATGTTCTCGCCTTTCATGTTGGAAGCCACAATGGTCAATTTGTTCACGGTTCGCTGTGCCTTCGCTCAGGTTATAAAAATGATACTGCTTTTTGAAGGACGTACAAAATGCAAACCAAATAATTTGGTCTTTTTCAAATCCTTTCAGTCTCCTGATTAGCATCATAGAGATTATTATTTTAATATAATCAATGAAACCTTTTTTTATTATACTCTGAATTGTTTAGATATTTATCATTGTATCTATTGTGAGGGAAACTGCTTACTCTTTACAAATATTCTTCATGTCAAGGTGCCATTGACCACTGTCTCTAATCACATGCAGCAACAGCATCCATCTGAGGAAGTTGCACTAGGTTATGTTTGTTCCAGCATAGAGGCTTCTACCATACCACTATGTATGCAGATTTGAAAGAAAGTCTTTTGAAAGAGTGAGGTCATCAGGGGACAAAATATCAGCCAATGGCATTTTAACTTTCATTGACACCATGACCTAATATGGAGTGTATGGGCACGTTTACAGGATGATTGATGCACATAATGCAGCATCTCCTACCATTCACGACACATGTTGACATGTTGCTATATGCACAGCAAACTGATCATGTACATTGTGAACCCAATGTTTTTTTTAATTTGTTTCTTATTATGTTATTAATGTTCAAGAATGTGATGCCATAATGTTTTCCTATTTTATGTCAATGATCTGACATTGATACTGCAATAGTGCTTTTATGTAACCACGGTAAATGTCACACCAACTGCTTGCAATGGCAGAATAAAATTGGCTGTCAGACATTTTTTCCGACCGCTTTTTCTAATTGTAAAGGAGGATCGAGTTTTCAATCTTGTCCAGTCACTTCCTGAAACTAGTCCCAGCTGCCTGGAGGCCAGGCAACATGTCATGGCAAAAACATTAGCAGCGCCCCCCACCAAATTTTTTTTGGAGACAAGGCGACTGAGGTCATGACTTTTTTCTCTAACTTTAATCTCTTTTGCTACAAAAACTCTATTCATTTTACCCTCACGTATTATTGTAGGGGAATCAAATCAATACAGACACATGACAGGAAAGACAAAAGTTTCTCTGGAAAATTATCAAGAAGAATGTTGTGCTTTACCAAAAAACATCCTGCAGCAGCCATGTAAAAAAATGTTGCAAGATTACCACTGATGACATACTTGGTGCGCAGTGAGGACAGCCACACCATGAAGATAAAATATTCATTCAACTGCATTTACTCATGTGTGTAGCCAATGCAGAGCGCTGCATACCTACCTACATGTACCCACTGCACAAAGATGCCAAAAGCAGCAGAGTGACTTGGAAATACGTACATGTACATACATGTACAGTACATCCCACATGAAATATACAGGTAAATACGAGTTTTTATCAAACTAATACATGAACATACATAAAAATGGGCCAAATGATTATCCATGCAACTCTGCACTGCTTGTAAATAACAAATTGTTGTGTATTGGGACAAGGTTCAATGGAGTATTGTATATTCAGACTGATTATCAGCAGGCACATGACCAAGTCAGCCACAGAAGGATTAATGTCAGTTTGCCCGGCAAAACCCTGTTTTAATCAAAAAGCTCACCAGGCCGTGGGAAAATAAACACCACAAAAGTGACCGCAGAGTTAATGAGCAAGTCTGAAGCTGCATACATAAACATGACCCAAAACAACCCCCATTTGACCCAAGAGGTTTTGTTTTAACTGAGAAGCAGCAGAGTAAAATAATTTGACGACATGTGATGTCCAAAGTTTAACTAAAAAACGGTTATTTTAACTGAGCAGATTTTCACAGTGCATGTGGTGGCAAATAAATATACGTTGCTTTGCTTTTGAATATAAATGACACGGAAAGTATCTGCACTTGTATCAGTGATGAAAAAGCTAAGAACAAAAAAGAAAAAAAAAAACAGCCAAAACGTCAATAAAATACCTTATATTGTGCAGCTCAAATGTCTTCTGAAGATTGTGCATTGAAGCACACATGCCAAAGTCCAGGTGCTCTGGTAGTGAAAGATCATGCTGAGGTAGCACTGCTTGAATTGGAATGTCAAAAACTCCTTCCTGAAAGAACATTAAATGCAATGGGTAAAATGGGTAATTTCAGAAACTTTGGGTCCAAAAGTGTGACATTTGTGTGTCCCTGTTAAATCTGACCTTTGTTATTTGACATGGAAACATCACGGAATTGATTTCAAACTATTGCTCTTTGTTTGACAGGTCATTTGCATTTAATTCATCACTCTCGGAAATTAGAAAATGAACTAGTAATACATGTAGGTATACCAAAATTGGAAATATCAATGTTTGTTGTGAGAGTTCACTGTGGTTTAAGAACCAGACATTTCATAAATTTTATTCCTTGATATTATGCTTTTACTCAGTTAAGGAGTGTCTAATAGGATGATTTTCACCCCCAAAAAATTTATGTATAATGTATTATTGTATTTATGTATTATAAATTAATATATATTCCAATAAAGTATGTACCTTTGTTTTTTTTTAAAAGAAAGGTAGACTTGTAAAAGTCGGGCAAAATGTCAACAAAAATACCCTGCTTTTCAAAAACAACTTCTATCTTCAGAGAGAAACTGTGCATCATTTTGTAGCTGCTTGACACTCTTTCAATTGACATAAATTTGCTTTTGAAAAATTTTGAATAGAGTGCAGAAATTTGCATTGACTATTTACAGTAAATTATGTAGAAGCACCAAAAAGGAAAAATACACATTGACACACATGTACATTTGATGACGCATTTTTACAATGGGCTGTAAATGGCCAGTGCAAAAATGTCTAGTCTATCCATAAATTGATTGACTGATTGTTTGGCTACAAAACTAATAAAGAAGAAAAGTTGTAAATTCATCATTGTGTCAAGGAAATCAACCTTCTAAGCCTTCTTCAGCTAGAAATTAACATTGTTCAGAGCAAAAACGAACAGCACCCTTTATTGTTCAGGCATGTTAAGTATACTGGATGTGATCATTTCCGATGATGTTGGGCTCATTTGCTGGTAAGTCATCTGCTTCGTTGTAATCGTGTGGACTTTGTATGCCAAGGTTAGTCGTAATTTTAGGTGGAATTTAAACTGTAGAGTAGTTGAAAGAATTGTAGGTTTTCCAAGGTAATGTCAATTGTCCCAATGAACGCTAGAGGGTGTAGAGTCTGGTTTTTTGTTGTTTTTTTCTGCACCAGTTGTCATGTAAATGAGCCATGACGACATTCCTAACTGCTTGTACTTATCTTGAACTCAGTGTTGTGTCATGGTCTGGAACAGTGGATAAGAATGTTTTTCATACTGCCTTATGATTAGCTAGATTTGATTTGGAACTCATTCTTGCACTAGTGCTGCAATGGGTTTGTTCACTCAAATAAGATCCATCCTCTCTGCAAGAGATCACACAATGGGAAGAACCTCAAGAGTGCATTTATCTCCTTTGATATGACTAATCATTGATTTTCTGTTTCAAAAATGGGTATTTTCCATTTTGCCAAATCCCAAATTATACTTTAAAAATTCGAATTCGGTTTCATATCTTCGTAAGCATGAAATAGGAGAGCAAGTTTAAACTATGCATGGAAACCATTTGCCCAACCACATCGCCCCCCCAAAAAAAAAAGAAAGAAAGAAAAGAAACAAAAATAACAATATTGTTTGGAAATACTTTGCATTGTTTCCAACCTTTTTTTAAATTTCTATAGTGAAAATTAAAAAAAAAAAACAGACAATAAATACTGCACACCCCACCCCTTGATTTCACACTGGCGTGCGATCGCCAAAAACTTGCTTCGATTAATCAACGGACAATTCATGTGCCACTCCTTGTGTATACATTAAGATTACATACATGTACGTGTACAGTGGTCACAGAGTAGGTCTTGCATGTAACAGTCGTTGATCACAATATGTTAATGTTGGACATCAACCGCCATTTTATGTGGCAGTTGTGCAACAAAATTCAGAAAGTTACATTAAATCTGAGCCTTAAAATGTATGTTTGTGACTGAAAACTTCACTCTTTATTGAACACTTCCGAGGGCCCATTCAGCTATGGTACACCAAACTTACTAGGTTTCATTTAATTCAAGAAATATGTAATTAGTTTCCCGTTTTGCTGCTGCGGTTTCATCTTTCCCCATGCGGTACTAGCCTTGTCTCAAGGCGTCCATGCAGATTCACAGACTAAATTCCCTACACGTGAAAGAGTCATACGTGTGAGTAAGAACTTGTTTGTGCCTTGATTTCATTGCTAGTATGGTGCGTGTGTGAATGGCCAATGCGTGTATATGTACATATACAATGTGCATACACAATGTACCGTACTGCACCGATATTCTGTGCCGGGCCGGCTGCCGCTGCACACATGCAGCTCACGCTTGCCATAGCACTCACAAGTATCGGCACCGGCGAGGCACAAACGACCCAGTCATGTGGTGGAGTGGTGCAATTTAGCATGTTTCGCATAATTCGTTCATTAAAAGCAAGCATTTGAAAAGGGTTTGATAGGTATTTATTTTTTGTCCTTTGCAGAAAGTTTTCTGTACTTTTTAGGTCGTTCTTAGAGGGAAATTTTGCAAGTTCCATTTCAAGCAGTGGATTCCGTTTCACAGTGTTGATTCCGCAAATTCCATCCATTTTCTGTGATTCTGGAAAATCATTGGCTCTTCATTTATCATCAGTTGTTATCACCTGTGACCAAGATAACAGAAACATTGCCACCTAATAGGTCACTTCGTTTTACACGGATCTGGATCTCAATCAGTGATCCCACTGCTGGTTCGCTCCATCCATCAGGCGGGTTTTGAGGTCAGTGAACCAATGACGGATCACTTACTGTGATCCGGATCCGCGAGAAACACACTGGCCCAAAGAAAACAAAGGTTAATAATCAAGATGTACTCCAAGGCCTGCAAATTATACAGTAGATTTCCGTTATACGTGTAGTGCTCTCAAGAGGACCTAACAGAATTAAGCATTACAACCACACAGCTCTATAAACAAGTGGATGAACGCACAACATGTGCACCTCACGTGTGCACATGTACTTCTATGTACATGTATAGATACATGTATCCACATGCACATCATGTATATGAATTTTGTTTACATGAATTGGCACATGTATGAACAGTAGTTTTCGGAGTACATACCTTGTATCCAGTTATCTCTCCCCCACCTAAAGTGGGTTGAGTCTACTACTGCATACCTACCAGATTATCAATACATATGCATTATTTCCTAAGTCCATTCCTTCCATTCACTAAATTGTTGATCACCAGCAGAGCGCCCTCACTCACTCGACCCCCACGAAGGCGGCCGCCATTTTCTACCTCTTTTTCCATATGCAAAGTGTGCCGAAGCCAAGTGGGAAAGAGGGAGGGAGATTGGTAATCTGGTAGGTATGCAGTAATAGACTCAACCTACTCTAGGTGGGGGAGGGGGGAAGAGTTTACTGCCTGCAACCTACACAGATTCCAATACATATGCAGAGTAGCACTGAATCAATGGACAGTGGGAGGGCGAGGACGCACTACCAATATCTAGCTATCACACAACAAAAGGATTGAGGGTGTCCCAGGTAGAAATTTGGCGGGGTTTTAAACAATTTTCGGGGTGTAAAGGGAACTTGCATCGGAGAGTCCGAGGAGAGGGCACGTCTTGCCAGCCTCAATGATTTTGCTGTAATTGAGTTTGAAACTGCGAGAATCCAGCCAGTTGCGCCAAAGAACTTAATGATTGGAAGCTAGTGTATCGGTGAAGATACGTTCCATTAATGGTTGGAAGCTAGTGTATCGGTGAAGATAAGTTCTGACCGATACGCAAGGTGAAAAAAAAAACTACTTGAGACGCAAGATTTCCCAAGAACCAGGCATCTACGCAACCTGGTTCTTCTGTGGGTACTTGACTAGCAGTCTGATCCAAGGGCTGGCCAGAAACTCGAGGAACAACTCAGGACTCGGGGTCAAGTCAAGACCACTGTACGACAGAGAGTCAGGCTGGTACCTGAAGGCTACTCTGCGTTGAGACAGCCCGAGAGTTCCTGGCCAAAACGTGAACCAGTCATTGCTGCAGTGACAAAAGGATCCTTTAGAATTTTTACGTTAAATTTAAGTTGTGCACCTACTGCGTTGAAAACCCTGTAAGTCCTGAGCGTATTTCATATCGTGTAAGATCAACAAAACTGTAAATATTTTTTTAAAACGATAATAAATTTGTAAATTGGTCTCCGTAAAATAGAAGATCTTGTATCCGGTGTCTTATTTTGCCAGAGAGTGCAAATAACTGCCGAAGGTTATGTCCACGGGGTTGGGGGTAACCCGGGATGTGACAATTGTCTTGGCTTTTCATCGTGGCTTTGTTGATCGGTGAGGGATTTCGTGACATTCTGATCCCAGGACTTATCTGGTGCTCTATCACTTACAAATCTCCAAACTGGCTTTTCGCTCTCCAGTCTATGATGCGCTTCGACATATCTGTCAGCTAGAAGCGCCGTGTTCTGAAGCGTACTAGGTTTTCGTTCTTTTAGGTACAGAGCCAGGTCCTTACCACAGCCAGAGATAATTCGCTCACGTAAAAGCAGATCTGATAAGCTGTCATATGTTTTGGTTGACTCATTTAACTCAACCCAACGTTCAAATACCTTTCCAACCTCGCTGAATATTGTGAAAACGTTTCGCCAATCTCACGTTTAGCATTTCTAAATTTCACGCGATAGCCTTCTTCTGTAAGCATGTACCTATGTAACAGCGCTGTTTTCAATTCTTTGTATACGATTGCCCTCTCAACTGGCATATGCAAGTAGACTTCTAACGCCTTGCCCGTCAACAAACTACTTAGTGCAAGCGCCCATTCACCCCTTGGCCAGTTCGCAGTCTTTGCAAATCTTTCAAACCTCCTAAGTTACGCGTCCATATCATCGCGGCCATCCTTAAAGGCAGGAAGTTTTGGCTTTTTCACTTTCGTTTCCGATTTGCCTTTACTACCGGCCAGCTGCGTTTCTGGTTTCAGCTCTAATTCTTTCATCTCTTTGTTGTACTCTCTTTCTTTAGCACGGTCTTCT